TGACATGCAGGTCAAGTAGAGACACTTCAATTTACTTCTTGAAGCTGTCCTGTGCACCTTTTCATTTCAGTGTATGTTGAGGAAATACCTTTGTAAGAGGCCTCAGTAGTTCAAGTATAGACATTTATTTTTCTTCTAAGTTTTGTATAAGTTGGGACTTCTCTATAAACTATATGTGGAGTCACATCAATCAATATTTTATGTGAATTATGGGTAAGGTTGGAAAAAGTGCCCATCTATCAATATAAGAGTAAAGACAGTTCACAGGGAATACAATCCTATCATTGGGGCATTCAATTCAATAAAGCTAATTTAATATATGATTCAGTAAAGGATATTCTCATGCAATTGACTATTCTAAAAACACCAGCATAGTGGAATTTCTTACCTATTATCATATGATTCTTGTTCTTTAAGATATTGTTGCATTAATTCTTCCTGTTTCTTCTTATCATATGATATTTTCTGTTCTGCCATCCATACCTAAATTAGTAAAGTACAAAACTTAAGTAGGAAGTTTGCTCTCTTTTATAATAAAATATAAAATGCTATTGTATATAGTTTACAACATCATCTATTTTGGTCATAATGTCATTATCGCAAAACAACAGTTGAAAATCTGATTTGTGCTTTTATATAAGTCCTTAAATATAATCATTCAAAACAGCTAAACTTTCAGGCAAAAATGTCAAACTTGATAACCACGCTGAGCACTTGGGGTAAAAATGCTTCTTGCATTCAATCCCTCTGTTGTTGTTTCAGAGATGAGAACAACCATCTCTCTACATGGAATATGTCTAGTCCAAAAAACATACAGGGCACAACCAGTAAGGTTAAATGGTGCCCATGGATGCCAGTGGGTGTCACTGACACCCCAAGAGAGGAGAAATGGAAGACAAATAGGAGAAAAAAAGGAAAGGAGATGAAAGGTAGTTGTAGAAAAAAGGGAAGAGACAAGAGAGGAATCAAAGAGATGCATCTGACGTCCTGCAGTTGCTCAAGGGCACCACCACCGCAGGCTGAATGTGTCCCTGTGTGAAATTCTCAGAATCGTAGAAGTGGTGACGGTAAAAAGCCCACACAACTTATGCAGGATATTTAATCATGTTACTTCCAGGTTTAAAAGGTATCAGTGACTTCCCACCTCCTATAAAGTAAAGGACAAAATGTTTGATAACCATTCAACATAAACAGCAAGGCAAAACTTTCTCTCCCAACAAGCTAAGTTTTAGAAGGTAAATTCAAGGAAAAATATTTACACTGATAAAATTATAATTATTAAATGTAGGTGGAGGCAGATAAGTGTGGGGAGAAGGATGGGGGACAAGACTGCCATTATTCAATTTTAGATGCGAAACAGTAGTTATCAGTATTTAATAGTGCTCAGATAGGAAGCTTCTATGGGCACCACAATCTGAGATTAATATGGAGATAAAAGCAAAAATAGCAATGAGAAGAGAACCCTTCAGGGATAGATATACCAGAAATTTCTTTTGGTATAAGTTTCTGAAAGTTTCTTCCACTGCCTTCATAACATAATATACATGCCATAACCAACATAACATTACCAATGTAATGTTATAGTAGAAGAAAAGTCTACACTTGGGATGGGCAGTAAAAGGCACATGTTTGGAATTTTCACTGTAGCTCAAAATGCAAACAGTTGCAATAGAAAAATGCAAGGTGTCATTGCCTGGTCAAATAATACATTAATAATAACATTCTAATGATTAACATATTCTAACAATAACTACCATTTATTTAAAGCTTTAGATTTTACAAAGTTATTTTACTAGTCTCAATTGCTCAAGAGCTTAAATACATGAATATTTATGATGAACTAGAATAAAAAGTATTCTAAATAAAAAGTATTCTAAAAAACATATTCTTGCTTACAAAATGCTCAGAATCTGCTAATAGAAAATCATACTAACTTTTCCGTATGTTTAAGATATTTCATAATAAAAAAGACAGGAATTGTGTAAATAAACAGTAACAATATTTGGGCCTGGGCTGAGGGCAGGGGAGGGGGGTATATGGTGACTGTGTTTTTCATAACTTATGTTTTTATATGGTTGCATTTATGTCAATAAATCCTCAGCTGGGAAAAAAATAGTAACAATAAAAATTGATATTTGGAACAGAGTATGTTCAACGTGAAGAAATAGAACAAGACAGTGTTCTAGGGGGCAAGGAAGAAGGCTGGTATAATGCAATGCTTTATAGCCAAGTTTTGGTTTTTAGAAGTTCTTTATTTTTTAAATGAAGTAACTATATTCACAGGTAGCCAATATTATTCCTGTTTTGTATATCCTTCCAAAGATGTTCACGTGGACATACACATAATATACATAATATAATATACACACATGCATTTTTTGGTCACTCTTTTCATAAATGGTAACATATACAGCATATATATACAATATGCTGTACACAGAGAATATGTCTAAAATAAAATTCTATACCATGAAGATCATTTCCAGATCAGTAAACAAAATGCTTTCTTGTTTCCTGGGGGATGGGGTGCTGAAGAATATCATTCTTTTGTGGGGCTACACCACCATTCATTTAACCAATCTCCTGCTGTACCGATGGGCATTAAGAAATTTCCAATCTTTTACTATTACAAACTCAGCTGCAATAAATAACCCTGTTACACAAGTAGCTTCATACATGTTAAACAGGATTTTGAATAGGATCAAAATTTTGCCAAGGGAAAAACAGGGTAAGATATTATCAGCAGAGGGAACAACTCAGACAAAGATCCAGAAGTGTAAAACAGGAATTAAGTAGCTTGATTTTACCGGAGTATAAAATCTATGGTGGGAGAATAGCAGTAAGGCATGAAGAAGGAAAAATAAACTGGAGCCTGGTTACCTGGACTTAATCCTGTAGTATTTTAATAAGGAGCTAGAAGAAATCAGAGTTGTGCTCTAAAATGACTACTCTATGGAAACACCCAAATATTCATCAAATGATGGATAAATAAAATGTGCTATATCCATATAATGGAATTATTCAGCAATAAAAAGGAATGTAATACTGATACATTCTACAACATGAACTCTGAAACATTATGCTAAGTGAAAGAAGGCAGTCACAAAAAAATAACATATTGCATGATTCCATTTATATGAAATGTCGAGAATAGGCAAATCCACAGAAACAAAAAGTAGATTAGTGGTTGACTAGGGCTGGGGAGGGGGAAGGATTAAGGACAAATGGGGAGTGACTGTTAATAGATATGGGTTTGGGGGAGCGTGATGAAAATCTTTTAGAACTTTTGTGGTGATGATAAAATTCATAAATATACTGAAAACTACTGAATTGTACACTTTAAATGGGTGATTGTATGGTATGTGAATTATACCTCAATAAAACTGCTAAATAAAAAAATAATTATTCTGATGGCTAGATGGGTAGAGAATGGATTTGAGAGGGGTCAAGACTGGCAGCAGAAAAACCAGTTAGGAAATGTAACTGTCTAGGTGAAAGATGATGAGGGTCTAAGCTAAGATACAGGCAGTAGTGACAAGGAGGAGAGATGGATTCAACAGATATCTGAGAGGTAAGACCAATAGAATTTATTAGCTGACAAGATAAAGGAGTGATGGGAAAGGACGAATCCTGAGTCTCTGGCCTGGGTGACTGGATGAAGGGTTGTGTTACTACCTGTATTTCCTACTGATATGAGAACAGGAAGTATAAAAAGAAGAGCAGATTTAGGATAAAAGGTAAGTTCCATTTCAAATATGCTGAGTTTGAGATGCCTGTAGGATATCAAGATGAAACTGTCTAGTATATAGCTGTCTTCAGGTGCCTCCAGCTAAGGGGAAAGATCTCGCACTGTAGATTTGAGAGTCAGGAGTAAATAAGGGGTGGTTAAAACTATAAAATTGGCTGTGATTGTTTGGGAAAGCATACAGAGTAAGCAAGACGTGGGCCAGGGACGAAACTCTTGTTACCACCTGTATTTTAGGAGCAGGCTAAGGATAAGGGTGTGTGTAGGGGCAATTAACATTTTATTGAGCACTCACTCTATGTGTTGGGCAGAGTGCTAGGTGGTGGTACTTATTTCAAAGTCTTTATCTACACCATCTTATTTAGTCCTCATAACAATTTTCACAAGTCAAGGCAACTGATACTAATTATTCTTAACTTATAGATTAGGACACTGAGGATCAGGGACATTAAATATTTTGTGTAAGGTCTCAGGGCTAAAAGTGACTGTGCTGGAAAAACAGAATCTAGGTCTGGTTTCAATGCTCATACTCCTCCTACCTCACCATTCTGCTTTCCACTACTATAATACTCAACTCAGTTTTTCTCTACTGGACATAGTAGACCTGTAAGTGGTTATTTAAAAAGCCAAAGTTCAATGAGGTCACCAGACAGACGGTACATGATCAAGTGGGATAAAAAGAGTAAGCAAGGTGTGGCTTTATTTCCCTTTTAAGATCTATCTTAAATAGACAGGGAGTCTTCTTTGTACAGGACAGCAGAGCTCAGAAGCCATGATCTCTGGGATTCGAAAAGTCAACATCAGAATCTGCTGCGGGAAGTTATGAGGAAGCCGGTTATCGGTCTTCATATCTTAAAGATTTACATTCTAGCTGACAAAACCGAAAGAGCACACAGAGCCGCCCGCCTCCTGGCTGATGTACAACAGAATAAACGAGGGCCAGCGGAGAACGGACGAGAACGCCAGGGCTTTAGGCATGGAGAAGAGGCGACTTTCCCAGGGATCCCAGAGACTCCACCACTCTCACCTCCAGGAACCCCTGGGAACCCAGGCGCCAAGGGCCTGCTCCCCGTACTCACTTTCTTGATGTTGGATTTGGAGGCAGGATGAAAGTCCTTCTTGCACATGAAATTGGCGAAGGATTTTCCCATTTTGGCGCCTGAGCTGGGGAACGCAGCCGCTAGATCTGAGAGCAGCGTAAACAAACTCGGCTGCCTAACCGGAACTGCGCCTCCCGTGGCAGAGGGAACTTCCGGGGTCAAAAGGGACAGCTTCCGGCAATTAGTGCCTGTGGTGCTCCCTCTTCGCCCCTTCCTCCTTTCACTTTGGGCCCCTCGGAGGCCAGGTGAGGGGCGTGCACGGGGGTGGGGCGAGCATAGTAGTTGTTGGAAGCGGGAAGTCGGGAACTGCGGCGCGACGGCGCCGAGGTGCTCCTGGGAGCGGCTGCTGGGAGGGGCTCCTGGGGGGGGGGGCGCTGCAGGGAGGGGCTCCTGGGAGGGGTCCGGGCCGCGGCGCGGTCTGCAGTTTGGGTGCAGCCAGTTTGGGTGAGGAGTGCGGGCTGGGTGGCGGCTTTTCTGCAAGGAGGTGCTTGAAGTCCGAACCCTTTACTCTGTGAACTCCATTTCGAGTTGCATAAACTTTTCTAAACCAACTTTTTCCATCTGTGTTACTAAAGTAGTAATTCTTGCCCTAACTGTAGCACGTTTGTGAGGATCAAACGATGTGATGTTTCTGAAACCGCTTGGTGAACTAAAACATATAAAATAGAATGTCAACTCCAAAGGAGCGAGGACTCTATTTTGTTACCAGTACGGGGCCTGGTGCAGAAAGATATTTATAAACATTTGTTAAATGACGAATACATTTTAGGAGTTAGTAAAGGCTCTCAAGGCTGCCCCTCCTAAATGGGCTAGGTGTCTTACTAACTAGGTGGCATGTTTCCTTAGCTTTCCTTATAACCGCAGTTACCTTAGATCACCTAGTGAAGCTTGATGGCTCTTGAAACTTCACGGTTTTGAGTGGACGTGGCTGTAGGGGATCCACCAACCAAATCCTCTCGCGGGAGGGGGTGAGCGTGATGTCAAGAATAAGCCTTTTGTAAGAAATTGACTCTTCTGATGAATAATAATAACAGCTTTAAGTGATATGTTCTAAGAACTGAAAAACGGTTTACACACTGTCTTATTAAATTCTCCTAACAGCCCCCAAGATATTTACCGATGAGGCAGGAGACTTAGAGATTAAATAGCCTGCCAAAGTTAGGTAGTGGTGGAATTAGTTTTGGAACACAAATAGAAGGCGATCTAGGATATAAAGGTTGAAATTCACACGGAAAAGAACAGAAGCAATGGTGACCGCTCTGTTTCCATCATTGAGGAAAATAGAAAAACCCTTAGGTGTTTCAGGCTGAAGTTGTTTCTTTCTTACTTGAGTCATTTTGTTTTCTTTTGAATGAATCATTTATTGCATTTAAATCTGAAACTCTAAAACAATGTGCCATTCTGGAAGCAAACAAATTCGACTAAATTGAGGATTTAAGATTTTCCAAATTACAAATGAAGACATGATCTTGATATTAAATTATACAATCAGGATTCACAAGTTGAATGTGAACGTCTTCCTGGAAATAACAACAATTTGGAATTTTATTGACATGTTTTTGTATTTGTCTGATTCAGTGAGTCTGTTTCAAAATTTCAGTCTTATTAGTATTGTAACCAGTTCAAAAGAGACCCCGTCTTCCCATCTTTGAGGAAACACTGGGTATATAATACTGTGACTTTTCCATAAGTGCCAGTGATGAGAATACAAAGATTAATAAGACATACTCTCAGCTCTCAAGGATCTCACTGTCCACTAAGAAGACATATATACACAAATATGGTCTTTATAACAGTAGAGCTAGGTACAGGTGTTCCCAAATATGGAAATAGTGAAAGGAGATTCAAGGAAGACTTCAGGAGAGAAAGAGCTTAGAGACTAAATTTGACCTATAGACTAGAAGAAGGTACTTGTCATTCCTATTTTCTTACTAAATCTTGTAGTACTAGATTCATTCCCAAGTCATTTTCTTACTGATACGAAATTTGAAACTTTAATGAATATCCTATGTTAGATATGGCAGTAATATCCCCTGGTCATCAAGTAAAACTCTTCGTTTTGTATATACTAAAAATGCTTTTCTCTTTTTATTTTGAATCTTCCATATGATTTTTAGTTTTAAAAAAAATGGAACCTTGTTCCTGTGACACTTTTGTGGCACTACCTCCAGCAACAGTTAATAACAGGATTATTTTTGGAAAAAATTCAGATAGACCCTGTGATGAAGTACAGGAGGTAGTTTATTTTCCTGCTGCAGTTCATGACAATCTGAAGGAACATCTTAAGGTAGGTGAAATGCACGTTTTGTTAGCAATATTTTTCTTTAAAAATATCATAAACAGGTTTTTAAAAATCATTAGCCATTTGGCAGAAGCTATAGAAGTTAAAAATTTTAATTTGAAAAATAATTTGAATCAGAACTAGACTTCTGGTCTTTAATTTCAATGATTTGGAGGAAGCTGAAATAACAATAATAAGAATTGTTAATTCTTTGATCAGATATTTGAATGCTTACCATATGCAAGCACGTCGAATAGGGCAAAGCCTGCTGTCAAGACTAGTTCTGTCTTCCAGGAGCTTAGAGTCTAGTAGAGGAATAGGATGTGTATGTAACTAACCGCATTGTAAAAAAGGATGGTTTAAATGCTAAATTTAAGTAAGGGCAGCAAGTTGTGACATCAGTGGAGAAGCAAGTAATTCAGACTAGGAATTAAGGAAGGCTTCACCAGGAGTTGGGGTTTCAGCTGGAGTTTGATGGGCAAAAAGGATTCTGATTGGTATAGAATAGGAAAAATCATTCCAGACTCTGGAAGTAACAGTTTTATCATCAAAAAAGGTTTTTGGATCCAGTGGTAACACTATCAACACTATACACTTTATGCAGTCACTTGATAGTATACAGGTCAATTAAAGGACCCTTTAAATTTTTTATTCAAAAAATCCATTTAGCATGGAACTTAAAGAAAAATTTCATACTATGCTTTTATTCCTAAGTTATATAGTTTTTAGATTCCGTTTTATTGATATTCTAATACAAAAATATATTAAATATTAGACATTTTATGTATACAGTTGTTTCTCCACATCCGTGGGGGATTGGTTCCAGGAGCCCCTAGGATATCAAAATCCTTTGATGCTTAAGTCCCTTATATAAAATAGCATATAAATGCATATAACCTATGCACATGCTCCCGTAAACTTTAAATTATCTCTAGATTATTTATAGTACAATGTGAATGGTATGTAAATAGTTGTAAATACAATGTAAATGCTGTCTAAATAGTTGCCAGCAAATGTCAAATTCAAGTTTTGCTTTTTGGAACTTTCTGGAATGTTTTTTCTTTTCCTGAATAGTTTCAATCTGTGTTTGGTTGAATCTGTGGACGTGGAACCTGTGTGTGTGGAGGGCTGACTTTACTATGCCAGTTTTTTTCTTTTGCTGAGATTATTTATTCATCTTGGGTCCATTTCTTTTTTTTTATTCTTTTTTATTTATTTGGTTGCACCAGGTCTTAGTTGCGGTAGGCAGGCTCCTTAGTTGCAGCTCATCAGCTCCTTAGTTGAGGCACGTGGGCGCCTTAGTTGTGGCGTGTGAACTCTTAGTTGCGGCATGCATGTGGGATCTAGTTCCCTGACCAGGGATCAAACCCAGGCCCCCTGCACTGGGAGCATGGAGTCTTATACACTGCGCCACCGGGAAAGTCCCTTGGATCCATTTGTATTTTATCTCTTCATATTTAAGTCTCACCTATCCTCTAAGCCAGTGGTTCTTATTCTTTTCACTGCTGTGGATATACTCGGTGATTCCCACATGTGACATGGGCATCTATATATTTAAGGGCTACCATATGGAACTTACATCACCAATCAAGAAACACTGGACATTGAGTTTGAGATCTGTTTCCTTACACTTCAACTCAGATACATCTTTCTCTACAAAATGTTTCAAGATTCCACAGCTAGAAACTATCCCTTTCCTGAGCTTCCATTAGCACCCCATCTTCACTTTTCTTCATAGTCTTTATACTTTATATTTCATTGTATCTTAGGTAATGTAGAAGTCTTAGTTTCTTGACAGCAAGATCTGCATCTGATTCATCTTTGAAACCAATATATCTCTTAGCAGTGTTTTATCGTAGGAGATGCTTAGCAAATATCTGAATGAATAAATGCTCTAGGGACAATGTTTTAAGTGTAATGCCTCTATTATTGAAATTTTCAATTTAGTTATAATCTCTTTCATAATCGTCATGTCTTCTGATGGATTTTAAGATTCTAGACTTTGATAACTTTTCTTTTTTGGTTTTATTGTTATTGTTATGACTTTCTCTACAGTGTACTTACATAGAAATTGATCAAGTTCCTGAAACATATGCTATTGTCCTTAGTCGCCCAGCTTGGTTATGGGGGGCAGAAATGGGAGCCAATGAGCATGGAGTTTGCATTGGGAATGAAGCTGTATGGGGAAGAGAAGAAGTTTGTGATGAAGAGGCACTACTGGGCATGGACCTTGTCAGGTTATTTTTTTGTTATATTTTTGCACTGTAGAACTTGTCTAAATTTAAAATTTGTTGTTAACTCTTAACATGTTTTTATCTTCCCTTTTTTTTCATTTTGGGACTTTGATACTTTAGTTTGTGTTAAAAATGCTTCAGAATACAGGCATTCAATTTCAAGACTCTCAAATATCATTAATTAGGAGAAGGGAAGGAGTTGAAAATTATGATTCATTGGAAGTACCTAACTTACTTTATCAGACTGTAACTAATTCTCACAGTCACCTTGTGGGGTATTATTATTATCCTAATTTTACAGATGAGATACCTAAGGTTCAGAGATAAAGTGATTTGCCATTAAACTACCAAGTTGGAATTTAAACGATGATCTTTTTGACTCCAGATCTTTGTTTTCATGATTCCAAACTGACTCCACTACTTCACAAGGAACAGTTTAGAAGTTGGATTTCAGTGTATCTGTTAACTTGAAAGGATTTTTACTTGGAATATAAACACAAAATCTCATGTGCATGAAATTATTTAAGAAACATAATGGAAATTTATTTTAATCTGAGAACTTCAATGTTTTTATTTTAGACTTGGTCTTGAAAGAGCTGATACAGCTGAAAAAGCCCTCAATGTCATTGTTGATTTATTAAAGAAGTATGGCCAGGGTGGAAATTGTTCAGAGGGCAAGATGGTATTTAGCTATCACAACAGTTTCCTGATAGCTGATAGGAATGAGGCCTGGGTTCTGGAGACTGCAGGGAAGTACTGGGCAGCAGAAAAAGTACAAGGTATGGACAACTTTTCATGATTTAATTTGTTTTACAATTAATAAAAAACCTCTTAGTTGCATTTAATTGTTTTTCAAGATTTATACTCCAGTGCAATGAAGTCGAAAACTGAAGGGGAAATGAAAAAATTTGAAAGAACATACATTGAAAGAGCACTATAAAGGGCTTTCTTGAAAAAGAGGAAAAGGTGGTGTTATCTCTTTTTAATATATATGATATTAATTTCATATAACCTGTATACATTTTCTGTGCAGTAGCTCTTGGCTGTTTTATCGTACTTTTTCACTTTTTTTAAACGCCTCCCCTTTTTCACTTTTTTATTAAGTGAAACCATTTCTTTACCATTTTTTCCTGTTTTAACTTTGGGCTGAACTCCAAAATTTTATCATGTGTGGATATGGAGGTGAGGACAGGGTAGTGTTATTGGGGGTTGGTGACTGTGGGTTTAGTCGTTAGAAAGAATATATTGATACAATAGTAAAGTATAAAAATTTGATGTCATTGAGTAAATAACACAGTTGATTGTTTTAGAATGCTTTGCTTTTTTTCCCCCTTGATTTCTTTGTAACCATATATTCCTCTCATTTTTCAAGTGAGGAGATCCAGAGATATGAAGTGATTTACTCAAGGCAGTGAATGAGAGACTTAGAATTTAAATCTTTCTATCCTGACTCTCAGTTCAGTATTCTTTCACTAGAGTACAACCTTGTGCTTAAGCATGATCATGTACTTCTTGTGTAATTACCTCCTGCATCTCATAGTTTTACAGGGGGGATAAGATACACATGTGAAAATATTAAATGGCAAGTGAATGACACACACACATATATGCAATGAACCTTTAGAGAAAGGAAAAGTCATCGTGAGCTGGAGAAATTTGGGAAGTCTTCATGAAGATAGCCTTGAGCTTTGGAGGATTTGGATGTTATTTTTCAAAACAGGTCATTGACAGTTGTTTTGATGGACATTTTATATTTTGCATGTATGTTTATTAATACACAAAACTGAATTTAGATTCTTTTTATTATTGTGATAATTGGCCTGATTATACCATTAATTATTTTTATTTTGTCAAGTGTGCTACATCCAAGAGAAAAACAAATTCTGTTGAAAAAGATAGCCCCACCGAGCCATCCAAAACAAACACCTTCACTGAGTCTGATTATCCAATTGTAGATTAACTTTGCCAACTTGTCTCTCTTCCTATTACTAAATTAGCCCAAGAACTAAGTAGTTTAACTATAGGGAATTATCTACTCATGGAAAATTCCTCTTCTCTTTGATTCTATCATGACTTAAGTCTATTTTTGTAGTGAGAATATCCCAAGTATGATTTCATTAGAGTAATTAAATTGATTTCTACTTGGCAGACTATCATTCTAAATCTGTTTTAAAATGTTATTAATTTTCATTTATCATGATCTACTTCATTTATTCTGATCTGTTTAGAACAGACTTTTATTGTTTCTTCTGTTTTGTATTTTAGTTGAAAATTTTGTTATAACTTAGTGCCATGATATTTTTAGAAGCCTTATATTTCTGTTCTAAACTTACTTATGACTATTTTTTAAACAGTAATTCATATAAAAGACTAATATCGAGAATATATAAAGAACTGTCAAAACTCAACAGTAAAAAGACAAATGACACGAAGAGACATTTCCCCTAAAAGGATATACAGATGTCACAAAAGCACATGAAATGATGTTCACCGTCATTAGCCATTAGGGAAATGCAAACTAAAACCACAATGAGATACCACTCTACCTCTATCAGAATGGCTAAAAATTTTTTTTTTTTTTTCAGAATGGCTAAAAATTTTTAAATGACATTCCCAAATGCTAGTGAGAATCTGTAGGATGGTACATTGCTAATAAGAATGTACAGTCACTCTGGAAAACAGTTTGGCAGTTAAAAAAAAACCTTAATATGCAACTATTATACAGTGTAGCAATTGCAATCTTATGCATTTATCCCAGAGAAATAAAACTTAAATGCACACAAAACCCTGTACATGAATTTTTAGAGCAGCTTTTCCCATGATACCAAAAACTGGAAACAACCTAGCTGTCCTTTAACTTGTGAATGTTTAAACAAACCATAGAATGTCTATAACATGGAATACTAGTCAGCAATAAAAAGGAATGAATTGTTGATACATACAATAACCTGGAATAATCTTTAGGGAATTAAACTGAGTAAAAAAAGCCTAAAGATTGTATATTGTATGATTCCATTTATATGATTTTCTTGAAATGACAGTTATAGAAATGGATAACAGATGGTTGCCTGGGGTTAATGAAAGGGTGGGCGTGGGAGATAAGTGGGTGTGGCTATAAAAGGGCAACACGAGTGATCCTTGTGATATTCTGTACCTTGACAGTATAAATACTAGTATTTTGGTTGTGATATTATGCAAGATGTTACCATTTGGGGAGACGGTGTAAAGGTGCATAGCTCTCTCTTTAATTCTTACAACTACATGTGAATCCATAATTACCTCAAAATAAAAAGTTTAATTTTAAAAAGTAATTTATTTATTTGAGTATGTAATAAATAGATGCACATGGTACAACATTTAGAAGCCTATATTTACATTGAAATAATGATTAAGGATCATAATGTACAGAGATAGATATATTACATTAAATATGACTTTTCTTCTCCCTTCCTCTCTTCTTTGAAAATAGAGGGAGTTCGTAATATTTCTAATCAGCTTTCTATAACAACCAAGATTGATCGGGAACACCCAGACATGAGAAGCTATGCTAAGCAGAAAGGTTGGTGGGATGGTAAAAAGGAGTTTGATTTTGCTGCAACATACTCTTATCTTGACACAGCCAAGATGATGACTTCTCCAGGCAGATACTGTGAAGGCTACAAGCTTCTGAATAAACATAAAGGTAATTTTAAATAATATTAGAATGAAAATGGTATTTCGTGTAAATATAATGTGGGTATAATAAAGTCTGTTTTTTGAAAAAATATTCTAAGTAAGATATAGTTTTATTAAAACTGAAAACGGGGAATTCCCTGGTGGTCCAGTGGTTGGGACTCCATGCTTCCACTACAGGGGGTACGGGTTCGATTCTTGGTCGGCGAACTAGGATCCCACAGGCCGTGCGGCACAGCCAAAGGGAAAAAAAAAGAAAAAAAACCTGAAAACATTGTGATACTGTAAGCTGTTTTTTTTTTGCGGTACTCGGGCCTCTCACTGTTGTGGCCTCTCCCGTTGCGGAGCACAGGCTCCGGACGTGCAGGTTCAGCGGCCATGGCTCACGGGCCCAGCCACTGCGCGGCATGTGGGATCTTCCCGGACTGGGGCACGAACCTGCGTCCCCTGCATCGGCAGGCGGACTCTCAACCACTGTGCCACCAGGGAAGCCCCTGTAAGCTGTTTTTTGAGATGAGTGAAGTGCTATATAATTGTGAGACGGTAATAATTCTTTCTGAAAGACAAGTTCAGATTTGCAATCCTCAAGCCCTTTTTTCAGTTCTTAGTAATATTTTTAAAGCCAAATTTGGATTACTTTTCTTCTCAGAGTTCATTGGAACATGGAGATGGTTTTCTTTGACTATTGCTGCTGCTTCTTTCATTTATCTTTTGATAGTACCCTTATTGGTTATTTTCTAATTTCAAAAGTTATATCTATAACTTGTCAAGAAGACAAACTGAGCAGATATAAGAATTCTCCCTTTCCACTCTTAAACTCTAGAAATGTTGAATAACATATTTAAACATTAAGGACATATATAGATAGGTTTAAAGACAGGAAGAGGAAATCACTAGCTACCAAAAATGAAGAGAGAACCCATAGTGTCAGCAAAATTTGAGGTCTCTTCTCCATACAGTCCTCCTTCTCTCTGTGTCAAAGGGGAGATTGTGGACCACACATCATCCTTAGAGGCTAGTTTTAACATCCATGAGAATGTAGGTGCCTAGCTGAAAGACCTATTTGGGGAGCAGGAAATGGACTAGTTACTAAGATTAGTACTCTGCTCCATGCCCAGAGTCCCAGCCTGGAATTGAGCTGTCTGCTGTCCCAGGCTCTGGGTCAGTACATTCTCTTGTGAGTGACTGAACTCTGAGCTACATGTATTTTGTAAACTCAGCTAAGGCTACCTGTGCTGTGTTGAGAAACAAAGTGGTTTGGAACCTGTGAAACACAGGTATGCAGAATTCCAGCATACCTGTGTCTCTATGAATATATGACAAATATTCAGATTTTACTCAAATTTCCCATCCAGATGAGAAATCTGCTATAATGAATCTTCATGTAACTGCCATTAAAAACATGGACATTCAGATAAAAGGATGTAGTTTCCACATTTATTACGGATAGTTTCTATTATTATGTCCTCAAGTTCATTGATCTTTTCTTCTGCATTATCTAATATGCTGTTAATCTCAGTAATATTTTCATTTCAGTTATTATATTTTTCATCTCTACATGTTCTAGTTGGTTCTTTTTGTATATCTCTCATTTCTCTATTCATTACCTTCATGTTTTTCTTTAAATCCTTGAGCATATTTAGCAGACAGCTGTTTTATAATAGTTGTTTTAACATCCTTGTCTTCTAACTCCATTATCTCTGTAATTTCTGAGTCTGTTTCTGTTGATTTGATTTTCTTCTGGTTTTGGGTCACATTTTCCTGCTTATTTGTATGTTTAATAATTTTTGATTAGATGATGGACATTGCAGATTTTAATTGTTGAGTTCTGGATTTTGTTTTATTCCTTTAATGAGTGTTGGACTTTGTTTTTTTTTTTTTTTTTTTGGACTTTGTTTTATCAGTTAATTTCATTATTTAGGGAACAGTTTCATCTCTTTTAGGCCTATTAGCTTTTCTAGGGTAGCTCTAGAGTAGCTATTATACCAGGGCTAGTTTAGTCCCACTAAAGGCATGTGATCCTTCTGGGATCTCTGCTGAATGCCTTGTGTATTAAATGAGATCTTCTTACTCCAGCTAGTGGGAACTCAAAAGGTTCCCAGCCCTGTGTTAGCTTTATGGATTTTTTAAAAACTCATAGTTTCCAATAATTGCTCTTTCCTTATAATTTGTTCTTTGTTTGGTCTTGTGGAGTTTCACCCTATGTGTGTGTGCAAATTGGTATTCAGCCAGAGGCTCAATGGACCCTCTGCACAGGTTGCTAGAAAGTTTTTGAGAGGTAGCTTATTCCTCTTTGGTGCTCTGCTTTGCAAATTCTACCACCCTGACCTCCCTGAACTTCCACCTCTGTTTCTTCAACTTAGAGTGATCTTTGGGCTATGTCTGGGTCCCCCTCCCTGCACTGTTGTCTGAAAATTGCCTCCAACAACACTGAGCTCCTGGAGTCAACACAATGGTAGGGCTTACCTTATTTGTTTCCTTTCTCTCAGGGATCATAATCCTACATTACCTGTTGTCCAATATCCAAAAACAGTTTTATATATTTTGTCCAGTTTTCTGTTTGTCTACAGTAGGAGGGTAATTCTAGACCCTACTGTTCCTTCATGGTTGGAAGCAGAAGTTCTATTTACATTATACTGAGTGTTTTTTGCAGTATAGAAGAGAAATGCAATTCATATCCAGTAAGATATGTTATTATTTTTAACTGCACACAAGCACAATTATTGGGCATTCATTGAGAGTTAAATAAACAGATGATCAGTGTTTACACACTTCCCATTATGCAGAAGTTCTTGGTTGATTGTTACATAGGTTTTACAAGTATTTAGTAATATTTGGGGAAATTGATTGAGTTTTTAAATATGGGCTAGGAATACATTATTATTTCTTCCATTTAAAATAAGGGGTTGTAGGCTCTTGCTATTCAGTGTTTATAACAGTTTAGATTCAGGTAAGGAGGCTGTATGTATTTTATTAACCACCCATATGGAAGCCTTCATTATCCATGGTCTGCCAGGACTCTCCCAGAAATTCCCTTTGAAGATGATTTCACAGGAAAAAAATTATAAACACATGAGCAAATACAGTACTAAAAGCGAAACAATTCATAGACCCAACAAATACGGGAAATTCACACCCAAGAACAAATTAGCTGATTTAAAGTTAGCTAATGATTAAAACTATCAAAGGTATTTGTTAATATTAAGGAATTATTATTTTAAAATTCAGATGTGGTCATTGTATTTTAGCTATATTTATAAAAAAATTCCTTTTGTATAGATAAGTACTGAAATATCATGGATGAGATGATGTGACTGGTATTTTCTTCAAAATAATTTGATGGGAGGGATTTGATAACTGTTGAAACAGTAATGAATATTTGAGGATTCATTATATAATTTTTCTGAACTTTTATATATTTCAAATTTTTTGTAATAAAAAGTTAAAAAAATAAAATTAAAATGTTCAAAGATATAAAGGAAGGAATGAAATCCATAAAGAAAGAGTAGGAGATTATGAAAAATAAACAGACAAATTTGCAAATTCTAAAATGTGCAGAAATTCTAAAAATGAAAATTACAGTCACTGAAACAAAACCAAAATTGAACGTTGTAACAAATGTTCAAAGTTAAGCATTTGGAAAATGCAGGTAAACAAAGAGGAACAAAAATTACTCATAATAAGTACTCAGCACTCACTTAACATTTAAATATTTTTAATTGCAAAAGTAAAATGTATCATTGCTAGCAGATATTCTTTGTAGCCATATTTCCCTGTATACATATACAGCTTATTTTTTTAAATAAAAATAGGTCAATACTGAATATATTCTACTTTAATCCACTTTTTAGTTGATGTTATATTTGGAATATCATTCCACATCTTTAGTTATCATTCATTTGAAATGTTTTAAAATTTCCCTCATGATTTCTGACTTGTGGATTATTTAGAAGTGTGTTAACGAATTTCCAAATATTTGGGCATTTCCTAGATATCTTATTGTTGTTGATTTCTAATTTAATTCCACTGAACTCAGAGAACATACTCTATATGACTTCAGTCCTTTAAAATTTACTGAGACTTATTTTATGGCCTGGCATATGATCTATTTTGGTGTACAAAATATGCGCCTTGCACTTGTTAGGTATAGAGTTTTATAAATATCAATTAGGTCAATTAGGTCAAGATGGTTACTGTGATCATGTACATCTTTAATGATTTTTTTTTCTTGTTGTATATATTACTAAGAGAGGAGTGTGAAAATCTCCAATTATGTTTATGGAATTGTCTGTTTCTCCCTTTAATTCTGTCAGTTTTTGCTTAATATATATTAAACGTCTGTTATTAGGTACATACACATTTATAATTGTTTTGTCTTTCTGGTGAATTGGCTCTTTTCTTTTTTTTTTTTTTTTTTTTTGCGGTACGCGGGCCTCTCACTGTTGTGGCCTCTCCCGTTGCGGAGCACAGGCTCCGGACGTGCAGGCTCAGCGGCCGTGGCTCACGGGCCTATTCGGATCCGTGACATGTGGGATCTTCCCGGACCGGGGCACGAACCCGCGTCCCCTGCATCGGCAGGCGGACTCTCAACCACTGCACCACCAGGGACTCCCAGGCCCTTTTCTTCATGAAACATTATTTCTCACTGTTAATACTGTTTGTCTTGAAGTCAACTTTAGCCCAGTTTTCTGTTTACTGTTTTTTTGTTTTGTTTTGTTTTGTTTGGTGGTACGCGGGCCTCTCACTGTTGTGGCCTCTCCCGTTGCGGAGCACAGGCTCCAGACGCGCAGGCTCAGCAGCCATGGCTCACGGGCCCAGCCGCTCCGTGGCATGTGGGGCCTTCCCGGACCAGGGCACAAACCTGTGTCCCATGCATCGGCAGGTGGACTCTCAACCACTGTGCCAACAGGGAAGCCCCTGTTTACTGTTTATATGACATATACTCACCTATCCATTTGCTTTCAAACTATCTGTATCTTTATATTTAAAGCACATTTCTTGTTAAAAAAA